AGCGAGAGCTGGCCACGGGCTCGCTGCAGGTGAGGGGGGCTATGGGGGGGTTGCACCTGCCCAGGAGGGTGATGGGGCTTCCCAGCCCTCTGCCGCTCAGGCGGTGTCTCACAGAGCCTTCCCTTCCTGCGGCTGAGCTGCTGCTGTCCCCCTGCAGGTGGCTGTGGTGAAGCCGGGTGGTGCGGTAGAAGTGGAGCCCCGCTGTGGGCCGCCGGTAGGTGGGCTGTGAGGAGCAGCCACAGCAGAAGTTGGTGACACTGCACGTGGCAGAGCCTGGGGAGGCGTTGGTGCAGGAGGCTTACGAGGAGGCGACCCTGGGTGGCTCAGAGCTGCAGCAGATCACTATCCCCTTCGGCGGGACGGCGGAGTACAGCATCATCACACCCATCAGCGAGGAGATCTCGGCCCCAGGCACGCTGTACAGGTCAGCCATGTGGGAGGAGTGGGGAGACAGGGCACCTCCAACCTCAGGGTGAGGAGGCTTTACTGGCGAGGAGGACAAGGCAGATCTTCTCTGACCCTGTCCTCTCCAGCAGCGAGGAGGAGAGCCCTGCGGAGGCCTCCCATGCAGTCGTGGTGAGCGAAGCTGTGATGACAGAGGAGGCTCTGAAGGACCAGAACAATCAGTATATCATGTCATCCAGCATTGCGAGGAGCCAGTTCCATCACATCGAGGTAAGGAGCTGAGCTCTCTCCCTGTCTGGGGCAGCGGTGTGAGCAGGTGTGACTGGGTGTTTCTCTCTCAGCCCCTCAGCGGGGACGCTGTCGCCTGCGAGGGCCAGGGAGGAACAGCCCGCCAGCGTCAAGTGGCCCCTGGTGCAGTGTGTCACCAGGCAGCTCCAGAAGGACTCGTCTTTATCCCCAGCCTCCGAGGGGCAGGAAGTCTCGTCCCCAAAGGTCAAGTGGCCCGCGCTCCAAGGCATGGCCAAGAAGCTCTCGTGCAAGGTTTCCACGGCCAAGAAGCTCTCCTGCAAGATTTCCACAGCCAAAAAGTTTTCATGCAAGATTTGCACAGCCATGTTCACAGGGAGGGCAGAAATGGAGAGTCACAAGAGAGCCCACATTGGGCCCAGCACCTTCAAGTGTCCCGACTGTCCGTTCACTGCAGCCCTCTGGCCGGAGGTTCGGGTAAGCTCCCTGGCGCAGAGCAGCCCTGGGAACATGGGCTTTGGAGAACCCGGGCTCTCTGACCCTGTGCTTGTCCTCCCCCTGTCCCTAGAGCCACATGGTCCAGCACGCCAGCCTGCGGCCGCACAAGTGCACCCACTGCAGCTTCGCCTCCAAGAACAAGAAGGACCTGCGCAGGCACATGCTGACCCACACCAATGAGAAGCCCTTTGCCTGCCAGGTCTGTGGGCAGAGGTGAGCAAAACGGGGTCGGTGCTGCTTGAGGAGATCCTGAGAGCTCCCCAGGGCTCGAGAGGAGAGGGGATGTTGGCAGAGAGCTGGTGGCCCTGACGCTCCCCCAGGAGCAGTCCTCGGCGCGAGGGCACTCTGCCCTTGAGAACAGTTCCTGCTGCCCAGCTTGGTCTCCAAGGAGCTTCTGCCCTGAGAGGTGCAGTCCTTGGCCCTGACAGAAGTGTTCTGGGAGCTGGGACAGGCTGTGCTTATGGTGCCCATGGGCTCTGCAGAGAGAGCAGGGCCCCTGGGCTGCTCATGGCCACCTCCACCTCGCTCTCGTTCCTCCCACAGGTTCAACCGTAATGGGCACCTGAAGTTCCACATGCAGCGTTTGCACAGCTCGGAGGGGAAGAGGCCGGGGCCGCCTGCAGCTGCCACCCAGCAGACCATCATCCTGAACAGCGACGAGGACACGCTGGCCACCCTGCAGAGTAAGATGTGTCCCTGTGACCGAGGTGACCTGTGGGGTTGCTGTGGCAGGGGGTGGTCAGTTTGTGGGTCAAGGAGGGCTGAGGTGGGGCAGAGCCAGGGAGATTCCAGCTGGAGGTTGGGATTGCCAGTGGCGGCGGGACTCAGTGGGTGTGGGGACGAGGGGGCTGGGTGCAGGGAGAGCTCTGGGTGAGTTTTATGCAGAACTAGCAGTCCAGCAGTTCCTCCAAGCAGGCCCCGGCAGGTCGGTGCGCTGGGAGGGCAGCAGTGCTGTGAGCAGCTCAGGGCTCGAACAGGAAGTTCACGGTGTGATGTGGAGATCGTGTTTGCCCACAGTGGCTTCTCGTCCCCTTCATGCTGAGAGTTTGGTTTAGCTTCTGGCACTCTTGTGAGCAGAGCTAGGAGGGGGTGCTGTGCTCCTTGCCGGGGTGGGCACGGGGAGTCGGAGCCTGGCAGCCCCTGCACTGTGTCTCTCTGCCT